CGACGACGACAGCGACGACGACGGCGACGAGGCGACGACGAAGACGACGAGGACGGCGACGACGACGGCGAGGACGACGACGACGACGACGACGACGGCGACGACAAAGGCGGCGACGACGACGACGAGGACGAGGACGGGGAGGACGACGACGGCCACAATGGGGGGGGATCGAGGGGTCTGCGCGCTGCTGGCGCTCTCTGGACATCCAGAGGCCTCCGAGGTCCTCCGGGGCCTCTCCAGGGGCGGCGGAGGCGTCCCAGGGCCCCTGGAGACCTCCGCGGCGAGCAGCGATTGCCATCGTCGTCGTCGTCGTCGTCGTCGTCGTGGTTTTTCGTTTCTTGGCGAGACAAGCGGGCATTTCTCCAATGCAGTGTAGGGCAATCCATGAGATTCAGACGCAGGCTGCCCTCACTGATTTGGACGTCCTGGCCAGTCCGTGCCTGCTATCGCACTGCGAAAACATTGCGCGCAGGACTGCAACCGAACGGGCTTTGTTCCTAAGCCGGTGCTGCGGTCTAGCAGGCAAGGGATTGCTCTTCTGATTTTCTAGAAAGGCCCTGTCAGGAACAACAAACAAGGTAACTGTGACCAATGCTTGTTGTGGCAGTAGGAAGGCAAACGAAACGCGCCATTACCGCAGGCAGAAGGCTGGATCCAGGTCGCGCAAAGGCGACACCAGTGGAGAGGCAGCATGTCAGCCTTCACGAGGGAACGCATGGGCGTGCTGTGTCGTAACGCATTGCGTGAAACATTTCAAACAGGCATGGCGGCTCGAGGAGTTCATCTCCTGTAAACTCGGTTCTTCAAGCAGTGCTTGCACTCAAGGACTCTTACTCTTCTTTCAGAGGAACTAGGTGGGTGCGTCGAGGAATCGCCACGTTCCAGCCCGTTGCCGCCGCCCGTTGCCGCTTATACCGCCTGTTGCTGCCTGTGCGGGTGCGTCGAGGATTCGCCACCTTCTGGCCCGTTGCCGCACGTTGCAGTCCGAGGATGCGCCGCGTTCGGGCCCGCATCCGGTGGGGAGACGCAAAGCGTCAGGAGTAAGAAAAGCTGTGTCCTACATCAGGACCCAGCTTTCTGTCAGCAGTTCTGTGGACGCGAAGCGTTGCCACATAACTTCCATCACATGGCTTCCACCACATACGTATATATATATATGTATACATGCAAATACATAGATAACTGAATCATTACAAGACTGCAGTGGCGTTTCGCGCCATGCACCATTGTCCTTGAAATTTTGCATGCAGGCGGGAGGGCAGGAATGGAAACTCAAGCCTTAGCTTCAACTCCTTGTTGCCTTTTTCCGACAGCGTTGATCTGATATTGTGTGATCATTCCCTCATGTTTCCTCTCCCTATTCCTTATTCTCGCCCTACAATGCGAATTATTCCCCATCCTCTTCTGCTTTTTTTGTAGACACTCCTTCTTGGAGAGCCTCTTGGAGGCCTCACGAGAGTTTTAAAGGGCTTCTTGGGGCCTTCTGGAGGTATCCTGGGCGCCTTCTGGGAGCCTCTGGGTTTTTTCTCGGGCCACCCTGCTTCCAACCGCGGTCTTCCTGAACGACCGGGTCACGATTTGGAATGCTTCGGGGGGCATCTTGGGGCCATCTTGGGCCGTCATGGGGCTCTCTTCAGGCCACTTTGAGACCCTGTTGTGCCGTCTTGGGGCTCTCTTGGTTGTCCTTGAAGCCCTTTCGGTACTTTTGGGGCGGTCTCGGGCGCCCAGTAGACCGAAGAACAGAGCATTCCCAAAATCATGCAAAAAATCATGCGAAATCAATGTTTTGACAGTTTCAAGACCCTCTCGGGTGTCTTTTTGCGGTCGTCTTCTGGGACCTCTTGGGGCCCTCGGGATGCCGTTCGGCCGCCCTCGTGACCGATTTGGGCCCGTTGCCTAGGCCCCGCAGGGGTGTCCAAGAGCTCCGGACACACCGGGGGGTCTTCTGCAAGGGCGTCCAGGAGGCCCCTGGGGCCACGGATCCTGTGGGTTCGGGTTTTGTGGTGGGGCGGTGGGGGGGGTCCCCCCCCGCCCGGGCTTGGAAAAATATAGGAAGAGGAATCTGTTTCACCACACAGTTTAAACCAAGTAGGTTCTCCACTCTCAAAGAAGAATAGATTCATCCCCCCCCGGAGTTAAGGGTACCCCCCTGGGGTATTGCGATTTCGTCGTATTTATTCTGCACGCTCGTCCATCCTAAATACGAATTCGTACTATCCCAGCCAGGCTGGTATCACTCCCCCCGCCATCCTCTGCAACAAGTTATATGCGCGCACTCTCGTTTATCTAGAATCATAAGTTTTCAGGAATCCCTTGCAAAAAATGGGACGAAGTGCACACGCGCGCGTCGTCGCGCGCGCATGCAGGAATCCTTCAAGAACCTTCGGTTTCGGAAGGGTTTCAAAATCGAGTTTCCAAACAAATACAAAGACACATGTATTCGCAACACTGATTTTCTTAAAAAGCTTACTCGCGCGCTCTTGCGAACTCTCAAGAAAAAAAACATAGGTTTTTCAAGATTTTCAAAAATACTACCAAACGGGCTTCGCGCGCGTGCATGTCGAAATCTTTCGAACGCCCTTGTGCGCGTGCCGTCGCGAGAATCCTTTGCAAAAAATGGGACGAAGTGCAGACGCGCGCGTCGTCGCGCGCATGCCGAAATCCCGGAAGGATTTCAAAATCGTGTGTCCAAAAAACATACAACAACACAAGGTTTCGCAACACGGATTTTCAACAACAGGGTGCGCGCGCACTTGCGTCGTCGTCGTCGTCGTCGTCGCCGTCCTCCCTCCTCCCTCGTCGTCGTCGTCTGTCTTTCCTCGTCGTCGTCGTCGTCGTCGGCATCTTGGCGTCCTCGTCGTTTCCGTCGTCGTTGTCGCCGTGATCGTCCTTCCTCCCTCGTCGTCTGCGTCGGCGTTTCGTCGTTGTCCCTCCTATTTCGCCGTCGTCGTCATAGTTGTCGTCGTCTTTCCTCCTCCCTCGTCGTTGTCGTCGTCGCCGTCGTCGTCCTCCCTCCTCCCTCGTCGTCGTCATCGTCGTCGTCTTCGTTGGCGACGTCGTCGTCGTCGTCGTCGTCATCGCTGTCGTCGTCGTCGTCGTCGTCGTCGGCGTCGGCGGCGGCGGCGGCGGCGTCGTCGTCCTTGTCATCGTCGTCGTCGTCGTCGTCAGTGTCGGCGTAGTCGTCGTGGTCGTCGTCGGTGTTGTCGTCGTCGTCGTCGTCGTCGTCGTTGTCGTCGTCGTTGACGTCGTTGGAGACGTCGTCGGTGTCGTCGTAGTCGTTGTCGGCGTCGTCGTCGTCGTCGTCGTTGTCGCTGTCGTCGTCGGCGTCGGTGTCGTTGCCTAGTGCCATTTGGTAACCACCGTCACGGTCTTAAGAGATCTTGCGACCAACTTGCGGGTGGGAGGGTGGGATGTTTGCACGAGCAGTGGAGAGGACAGCTTCAAGTTGAGCAAGTGATTGCTTCCACCACATAGCTTCCACCACGCAGCCTCCACCACATAGCTTCCACCACATAGCTTCCACCACCACGGTGCGAACCCTCATTGTTTGGGGTCCACGCTGGCAAACATCACGACTCCTCCCCATAGCCCTTCACTTCCGAATGCTGCCTTCTCTACGTGCTCTCCTTTGGAAGGGCTCCTGCCCGCCCTCGCAGGCCCTGCTAATCACGTGCCCCGCCGTCCGCCAGCTGGCGCACTCCCCTGTCCCTGTCCCTGTCCCTCTCCATGTCTCCTTCGAAGCTCGAGGTTCGAGGTTTTGTTGACGTCTCTGGCCCCCTTTGGAGCCCTCCACAGGCCCTGTGGGGACCTTATCTGGGGAATCTCGGGAGACCTTCGGAGGCCGGTTGTCTCATCGAGGACTGCTCTGTTTGCGGCCCGTTGGGCTCACACGCAGTCGGACCGAGGTGTGTGATCGAGGTCGGTTCGGGGAGAGTGCCCTCGTGTCCTCCGTGATTTTTTTTGGTCTTCTTGTGCACACTGGGGAGGGTACCCCTGAATGTTCCGTGCGTTTTGGCCGACGGAGGGTCTGGTGTTCTTGAGGGATGTTCTTCTGTCTTATTACCCTCGTCGAAATTAACCTCAAAAAGTGCGAAGACGCCCCTGCGATGCCGACACGACGCCCCTCCAACGTCGGGGCCAGAGCAAAGGTGGTCTGACCGGGAACGACTGGGAAGTTCGATGACGACCGGCATTGGAGGGGCGGCGCATACAAGCACCTCGCAGTCATCGCTACTCTGTCCAACTTCTCCCCACAATCAGTTCAGCCACGTAAGACATGTTTGAGGTTAAGTTTGACGAGGAAAAGGTTCGACTGCAAGCCGTAAGAAGCGCTCGTCTTGGTCAGTGTCGCGATGCCCAGAGGAGGTGGGGGCCTTCCCTTTTCCGCCGTCGCGCCGCCCGCCGTCGTCGCCGCCGCCGCCGTCGTCGCCACCGCCGCCGCCGCAGTCATCGCCGCCGCCGCCGCCGCCGCCGCCGCCGTCGTCGTCGTCGTTGTCGTCGTCGTCGTCGTTGTCGTCGTCGTCGTTCTCGTCCAGGGACCTCCAGTGGTCACGAGATCGGGGGCGGAAGCAAAACTTGCCAGGTCGTCGTCGTCGTCGTCGTCGTCGTCGTCGTCGTCGTCGTCGTCGTTCTCGTCCAGGGACCTCCAGTAGTCACGAGATCGGGGGCGGAAGCAAAACTTGCCAGGTCGTCGTCGTCGTCGTCCAGGGACCTCCAGGGGTCACGAGATCGGGGACGGAAGCAAAACTTGCCAGGGCGTCGTCGTCGTCGTCGTCGTCGTCGTCGTCGTCGTCGTCGCAGTCGCCCCCGCTGCCGCCGTCGACGACGACACCGACGACGCTGTGCGGCCGACCCTTCGCGCGGCCGCCCCTTCCCCCCTGCTTCTCCTCCTCCTCCTCCTCCTCCTCCTCCTTTTCTCCTCCTCCTCCTCCTCCTCCTCCCCCTCCTCCTCCCCCTCCTCCTCCTCCTCCTCCTCCTTCTTTTCTCCTCCTTCTTCT